GAGCAGGTGGCGCCGATCTGGAGGCCGCCTGGACCGCTAGAGCCGAGATCGGCTGGACGGAACTGATGCAGACGCTGGGGAGACCTAGACGTGTTTCAGGGGCCTGCGTGCCCCAGGGATTTAGAGAACTTGGCTGGGCGAGGAGGCACCCCGAGCAGCCCGCCCTACGGTTTTCAGAAAGGGCTGATTGTGGTGTTTGGGATCCCAGATCACTGGTTAACAGGGGGAGCAGGACCTCTCAGGAATGTCTGGGAGGACGCAAAATGTGTCGGCGTGGTTTATTCGGCTCTAAGATTGGGCAGAATTGCATCGACCGTGCAGTTTTCCCGTTTGAGTTAGTCCACCTCTTCTACCGTTACCATCTTGGGCCAATTTAAAATGACTTAGCCGGGCAGAGTACACACGGGAGTTCTTCAGTAAAATTCAAATAAATTATTGGAATAAAACTTGTAAAGATCCAGAAAGCCATATACCTAGTGGTGGTGCGTTTTGGAAATGAAAACCTTCCGGAGTTGGAGCTGAAACTTTGCCTTAAAGCTGCTCACCAAGACCTGAAAGAACTCGGGCTGAGTTCGGCCGGTGCAAATGCGAAGTATGTAGGCGAAGTGGGTTCCCTGCCTTAGTCTCCTGCCATTCCCTTGGTGTGATTTAGGCAGCATGAGGCTGACCATGCCGAAAAGTACCCTTCTGCCATGCATGGGTTTGGATTTATGTTAGGCTCGTTCCCCTAGGCCTCTCATAGTGTCCCATGCCAGAGCAAACTGGCCCAAACCATTGCCCGGTCTCTGCCTGTGGGCTGCTGGCACTAAAGCGGGTTGCACAGAGGGAAAGAATAAAGCCCTATTTGGCAGAAGTGTTAAAGGTTAAGGTCAGTAATTTCCAGATAGCTCCTTCACTGCGTTACATTTCATAAAGGTCAAGGGCAGGGCGCTTAACTTTGAGTATTCATAAAGCTTGCTCAAAACTACTCCCTAGGATTAGCATTCGTAGCTAAGCAAATATTGGAGTACCTGTGAGGACAGTTGGGGTGCCCAGAATTGCTAATTCGGGCAGCTCTGGGTCCAGGATACTGACTGGTAACAGCAGTTATAGTCCAGTGCTGGCTGAAAGGTCACAGTTTTTAGAAATTCATGTGCGGCTATACAAACGTGAAAATGGAGCTCAGAAGTTCTTAGGGAGCGTAGGAGCATGAAGCAGGGTACTACCTTAGACATGTCTGCCATCCCAGTGGGGCCACTGGAAGCTGTCCTGTGAGACTGCGGGGCTAGGAATGGCTGTGTCCTCACTGCTGCGTGTGATTGTTGTGATGCGACTTTGAGTTTCCAAGAGCTGAGACAGCTCGCAAATACAGCAATGACCCTTACACGGTGTTCACCTGTGTCATTAAGTGCGGGCAGGGTTCTGAAACCCGCAGTCTACCTTTTTTTAGTAGGAGTATTTGAAATGCTTATTGTGACCAGAGCCTTGCTATATATGGAACTGCAGTGTGCTGGTTTGGAACAACTGGTTGGCTCTGGTGTCCTCAGTTCCTGCAGGGGTTATGGAGTCATAGACTGACACCTGGGAGGAGTGGGGCTCCATCAGTGGCCTGAACTTACCCGGATATGTTCCTAAGGTAAACGGCAAACTGTGCTTTTACTTACCAGAACGTTTCCACCACTGCTCCGAGGGCAACAATCCCAGTGGACTTGAAATTCCTGGAGAATTGGTTTTGTGAGAAGCTGGAAATCATTTCTTTAATTCCATCTCTTAGTTTTCCATGTGAGTATTCAGCCTATCCTTTTGCTGCAGATGAATGTCAGGATCATATTGCTGAGGCTTCTGGGTGATTTCTCTACCTTAGTTGAAGTTTATTGCATTTCAGAGGGACGTCAGGAAACCATGAACAGCTTTAACAATGAAGAGTTTGACTGCCACTTCCTTGATGAAGGCTTTACTGCCAAGGATATTCTGGACCAAAAAATTAATGAAGTTTCTTGTTCTGTAAGTACATGAGGCCCAGGCCGCCAGCACAGCTGAAGGTGCTGGGCAGGCGGGATCTGAGGGAAGTGCAGTAGGTGCTGTGTCTAGTTAACAGAGCTTAGAACTAGCTGTGGGTTGCCCATTGATAGCGACTAGACTAAGGAGAGTAGGCTCCATCGTGAGTGTTGGGACACAGATGAGGCTGTGTCTCCTGTCAGGCTGCCAGTGAGTGACCTGAACCTCTTACTTCACAGGACGATAAGGATGCCTTCTATGTGGCAGACCTTGGAGATATTTTGAAGAAACATCTGAGGTGGTTGAAAGCTCTGCCCCGTGTCACCCCTTTTTATGCAGTCAAATGTAACGATAGCAGAGCCATAGTGAAGACCCTCGCTGCCATCGGGACTGGGTTCGACTGTGCTAGCAAGGTAAGAGGAAGCTGCAGTATTCGAACCATTCATACAGTGGTCTGGTGGTCCTCACTTGGTGGGCATAGCTGTGTGTCTTGGGCAGTAAATGCTAATGAAAGGGGGGAGGGGTGGCAGGCATGGTAGCTGTCTTGGGCTTTTCTGTCACTCAGCTTCTTAGCTGCATGTGTACAGCAGGACACTACTCTTTTTCAGACGGAAATACAGTTGGTGCAAAGTCTTGGAGTGCCCCCTGAGAGGATTATCTATGCAAATCCTTGCAAGCAGGTGTCTCAGATTAAATACGCAGCCAACAGTGGAGTCCAGATGATGACCTTTGATAGTGAGGTGGAGCTGATGAAAGTCGCCAGAGCACATCCAAAGGCAAAGTGAGTTGCCCCTTGTTGAAGAGCATGGTCAGCCATGGGATACATAGATTCTCACTGAATAGACCTAAGTGTCCAGTCCTATTTCTGTACTTGAGTAGAAGATAGTTTCACTCTCTGTGATTGACAGAGCCATAGATTTAAGCTGCAGAATATCAGCCAAAATTTAGGGCAGAGTTCTCTTTATGTTGTATGTGACCTGTCATGAGACATGTAATACCCTTGCCCATTTCTAGGTTGGTTTTACGGATCGCCACAGATGATTCCAAAGCAGTCTGTCGCCTCAGTGTTAAATTTGGTGCCACGCTTAAAACCAGCAGGCTTCTATTGGAACGTTCTTGTTCTGTAAGTACATGAGGCCCAGGCCGCCAGCACAGCTGAAGGTGCTGGGCAGGCGGGATCTGAGGGAAGTGCAGTAGGTGCTGTGTCTAGTTAACAGAGCTTAGAACTAGCTGTGGGTTGCCCATTGATAGCGACTAGACTAAGGAGAGTAGGCTCCATCGTGAGTGTTGGGACACAGATGAGGCTGTGTCTCCTGTCAGGCTGCCAGTGAGTGACCTGAACCTCTTACTTCACAGGACGATAAGGATGCCTTCTATGTGGCAGACCTTGGAGATATTTTGAAGAAACATCTGAGGTGGTTGAAAGCTCTGCCCCGTGTCACCCCTTTTTATGCAGTCAAATGTAACGATAGCAGAGCCATAGTGAAGACCCTCGCTGCCATCGGGACTGGGTTCGACTGTGCTAGCAAGGTAAGAGGAAGCTGCAGTATTCGAACCATTCATACAGTGGTCTGGTGGTCCTCACTTGGTGGGCATAGCTGTGTGTCTTGGGCAGTAAATGCTAATGAAAGGGGGGAGGGGTGGCAGGCATGGTAGCTGTCTTGGGCTTTTCTGTCACTCAGCTTCTTAGCTGCATGTGTACAGCAGGACACTACTCTTTTTCAGACGGAAATACAGTTGGTGCAAAGTCTTGGAGTGCCCCCTGAGAGGATTATCTATGCAAATCCTTGCAAGCAGGTGTCTCAGATTAAATACGCAGCCAACAGTGGAGTCCAGATGATGACCTTTGATAGTGAGGTGGAGCTGATGAAAGTCGCCAGAGCACATCCAAAGGCAAAGTGAGTTGCCCCTTGTTGAAGAGCATGGTCAGCCATGGGATACATAGATTCTCACTGAATAGACCTAAGTGTCCAGTCCTATTTCTGTACTTGAGTAGAAGATAGTTTCACTCTCTGTGATTGACAGAGCCATAGATTTAAGCTGCAGAATATCAGCCAAAATTTAGGGCAGAGTTCTCTTTATGTTGTATGTGACCTGTCATGAGACATGTAATACCCTTGCCCATTTCTAGGTTGGTTTTACGGATCGCCACAGATGATTCCAAAGCAGTCTGTCGCCTCAGTGTTAAATTTGGTGCCACGCTTAAAACCAGCAGGCTTCTATTGGAACGGGCAAAAGAGCTCAATATTGATGTCATCGGTGTCAGGTGAGATTTTGGCGGCATAGTGGGAGACTAAGGCATTAAGCAGTCTTGTGTTTACAGGCTTTCTGTGTTAAGGCCGTGTAAGAAATACCAATAGTAGACTGTCATCTCATTTCTTGCTCCAGCTTCCATGTGGGCAGTGGCTGTACAGACCCTGAGACCTTCGTTCAGGCGGTCTCTGATGCCCGCTGTGTCTTTGACATGGGCGTGAGTACACGGGACTGTCTATGAAGGAGGGTGGGAGGGGTGGGGTGGGGCTTGACACTAGTGGAAGTGGGTCCCAAATTGCAGAGATTTAGACCCATCTGCTTTAATTTTTGCTCTTCAATATGAATCTGGCAGTTTGACTTCTTAATTATCTTGACTCTTCCAGGCTGAAGTTGGATTCAATATGTATCTGCTTGATATCGGTGGTGGCTTTCCTGGATCCGAGGACGTGAAGCTTAAATTTGAAGAGGTAATTTATAATGGAGCCAAAGTATATAGTAGCTGGTTTTTTGCATGTCCTTTTTTGGAATATTTCTAAGTGTCTTAACTAATAGCAAAGGTGCTAAGCAAACATGGAAACAAATGTCTTGGTGTGATATTTCGAGCGATTTACAAATTATATTCAATACCATTCAGTTTTCTTAACTAAGCCGTGAGTCAGCTTTCCCAGAAGTCTTGGCTAGTTGATGACACTGAGAAATGCTGCCGTGGAATGGAGAATGTGCTGACGGGACTTCGATGCCCTACAGGCGCTTTGCCAGGCTTGTACTTCCTTCCTTAGAGACACTGAAATGTTTAGTCACTTGCACAGTTAAGCCATATATGGGCTTGAGTTTATAAAACAGATCTACATTCTTATTTATTAAAATTACGCAAGGTAGACAGTATAGAAGAGTTTTTATGCTGTTGCTGTGTATTTGGTAAATAAAGATTTTGGCACCTTAACACCTGACTAAGTAGTAATTTGTTTTGTACTATTTGATAAAATCATACTTAACGTCTTAAGGAAAGAGGGTGTCTGGAGGGGAATCCAAACAGATAGGCAGGCTGGTTTTCGGGAACCTGTTTTTGTTGTTTTGTTTTCGTTACTTGAGGCTAACCCTACTCTCGGTGGGTGATGTTACAAAGTGCTGTGACCTCTTTGCTGTGTGTGAATTCCCGGTCATGAATGACTCCTCTTTCTGTCTCACTCTTAGATCACCAGTGTGATCAACCCAGCACTGGACAAGTACTTTCCATCAGACTCTGGGGTGAGAATTATAGCTGAGCCAGGCAGATACTACGTCGCATCAGCTTTCACGCTTGCAGTTAATATCATTGCCAAAAAAATCGTATTAAAGGAGCAGACGGGCTCTGATGGTACGTATAAAGGATGGCTCATTGCGTGTGTGATTGAAGGTTGATGCAAACAGTGGTAATCAGGGTTCATCTTCCTTCCTAGATGAAGATGAGTCAAGCGAACAAACCTTTATGTATTATGTGAATGATGGAGTGTACGGATCCTTTAATTGCATCCTCTATGATCATGCACATGTGAAGCCCCTTCTGCAAAAGGTAACTTCTGAATGTGCTATATAAAACAGTGAAGATGATTGCTGTATAAAACAGTGAAGATGATACAGTAACAGCATCTCTCTTTTCATAGAGACCCAAGCCAGATGAGAAGTATTACCCATCCAGCATATGGGGACCTACCTGTGATGGGCTTGATCGGATCGTTGAGCGCTGTGACCTACCTGAAATGCATGTGGGCGATTGGATGCTCTTTGAAAACATGGGCGCTTACACTGTTGCTGCTGCTTCTACTTTCAATGGGTTCCAGAGGCCCACCATCTACTATGTGATGTCAGGACCGACGTGGTGAGTGAGAGTGCTTGCTTGTGCTTCAGACAAAGTGGGACACCTTCTTGGGTTTATGCTTGCTTTTGTCTGGTTGAACAGGAAATTATTTTCCCTTGGGTTACTTACAGACAAATAGAAGGAAAAACCCTCTGGTAGCATGTGTTCATATTTCACCTAAAAGGATTTAGAATAGAGCAGTAGGAGATTTGTGTGTAACTAGAGCATTTAAGTTGTCATGTGACTTGTGGTTTCTTGATTGCCAAAAAAGTAGCTCTGAAGAAATGCTTGCTGTACAGATACCTCTGCTTGCTTCCTGATGACGTAACAGCCAAGGAAGTAAGCGCTTACATGACTGCCCTATTGGCATGCAGCGCTGCCCAGCCAGGGGACTCAGGGTTGCTGAATGTGCCACTTCTTTCCCTCCCAGGCAACTCATGCAGCAAATCCAGAACCACGACTTGCCACCCGGAGTGGAGGAGCAGGATGTCGGCACTCTGCCTGTGTCCTGTGCCCGGGAAAGCGGGATGAAGCGCCACCCAGCACCCTGCGCCTCAGCCAGTATTAACGTGTAGATACCGTCCTGTAGATGTTACTGCGTGTAGCTTGAATTAAGGGATCTGGGGGGACCATTTAACTTAATTACCGCTAGTTTGGAAGTGTCTTTGTCGGAGTAGGGTTGGCACAGATGCAGCAACATGGAAGGCTAGGAGACTGGGTCACTTCTCTGTTCCTATGGAAACTATTTGAATACATGTTTTATATGGATTTTTATTCACTTTTCAAACATGCTACTAAAGAGTGCCCCCCAGTTGCCAAGCAAGCATTTGTAGCTTGCACGGGGCAGAAGGGGCCAAAAGCTTAGTGTCGTGACCCGTTTTAAAATAAAGTATCTTGAAATAATTAGACGTCAGGATGTTATTACAGTGTGTGCATTCCAGACTTGTTGAGTCTGGTGGTTTTTGTTGTGGATCTTTACAGAGTGGAGGCTGTCGCTCACCTAACAGGTCAAAGGAAGGACGGGCAAGCCGATGGCCGTACTTTTGTGTAGACAGGGTGGCCCGATTTGGTCCCCCTAGTCCCTGAGTGGCCACTGTGTTAGCTGTGAACCTGGGGTGCTCAGGCCCTGTGTTGAAGTGCTATTACACCTGACCATCCTGGCTCGTGCCCAGGGAAGGCACATAAGACCTTCCGAGCTCTGCCCACCCCGACCAGGTGTGTCCCTCCCCCCCATGACTTTGTCACTTCAGTTAGGCATGCAGCACAACACTGGCGGTCACCATGTGATAAGTTCAGCAGCTGCTCTAAGTGTCATGGGTATTGATGTTCTGGCATGACCTTGACTACTGTGGGTATTCTGTTCCCCTTACCTGTACCCCTGATGCCCCAGAGAGCATTATACTGTTTAACTCTTTTTTTTTGGGGGGGGAGGTTTTTCTGCTATAGGGTACGTGCACTCTCCAGAAAGACAGAGACAGAAAGTGAGAAATCACCCCCCCAGTGGGAATGGCCACGCCGCAATCCCTTCTCCTCCATTCTCCTCTCGGGATCTTGAGCACGCACGCACAGGCCCCCGGCATGAGTTTAAGCTACCGAGTCTGGGACTTGAACTGCAGTCAGTCGACTACATGGGAGTCCAGTGACATAGCCATTACACTAACTGCTGTCCCCATGTACTGTTTAACTCTTAAATGGAAGCTTTGAGTCCCACTGTAGCTGCAGGGGGAGGCAAAAGCCAGGCATTACCCTAGTAAGAATTTACCCATGGGTGTGGGTGTCACCGAGTCACCAGCCCCAACTGCAGCAGTAGATGTAGCTGGCAGAGGTCTGGAGAGGAATACTGCAGCCCCCCTCCTGGCAGTTAAATGTTGGGGTGCTGTACGTTCAGGCCTCACTGGTACTGTTTGCATAGTTCTCCAGCTGAGGGGGACTTGTGTCCGAGAGCCACCTTCTACACACACCCCTGCCCCCCAGGGTTCCACCAGACGGCACATGAGACTCACTGTTTACCATTTGCCTGGACACTCAGCTGAGACTGGGCTAGTCACCAGCTCCTGTCTCCTATATGCTGAAGTGTAGTCAGAGCTGCCAGCACAGACATTTCTTGGGAGCTGCAAAGAGGTTCCAGTGGGAATTGGGACACAAGGGGGAAGAAACGCTTTAGTTGACAGGCAGGCCCTCAGGATCTGGGGCCACTGCTGTGTTCAAAATGGAAGGGCGATGGTGTTGAGTGGGCCACATGCTGAGAACTCCAAGCTAGACACCTAGCTTGAGACTGTTGTGTCAGGTGTTTCATTTTAAATGGGAAGAAATTAACAAAATAACCAAGTGGTTGAGTTGAAATTCTGCCTGAAAGATATTCTAAGGATTTGAAAATGATGCCGATCTTTCAGCCAATTAGATAAAATATTCTATAATCCAACCAGCTGTTTCTAGCCCAGTGGGGACAGAACAGCCCCAGGTGAACCAGGCTGCACGCCCTGCACTTGGGAACCCTTGTCCCGACCACAGCTTGGCGCAGCTGCTTGGCTCCACAATGTCCTGGCCCTGCCAAGGCCTGACTTGGAGTTGTAGGATGACGTGGCCCAGCTGGCTAGTGCTCCCCTGGCCCTTGAATGGAGGAGCCTGCTAGTGAGTCTGGCTGGTGGAGCACAGCCAGACAGCAGCTGGCCATGTCACATCCTCTGGGCATTGTCCTCCAGGAAACCAGCTTCAGTGTGGTCATGTGTCCGTGTCACTACTGAAGGTGGTTTGTGAGCAGGCACAGGCACTGGGTGTTTGCACACCTGGGATTCGGGTTGCATGCAGCTGTGCCAGGGTGGCTGGGGAGCTCCACTCTGGAGGGCTAGAGCCAGTCCAGCCCCTGTGGGAGGGCTGCAGGGGACAAGCTGCTTGTCCAAGAGTAGACGGGTAACCAAGCTGACAGTGTGTGTTAGGGCCACTGGGGAGCTGCTTAAAGTCCAGGTGGTTGGATTCACCCCACAATCTGGAGTAGGGCTGTACTTAGGTCGAAAGGTAACTGGGAACAATTAAAGTATCCCTAACTCCTGCCAAACAAGCTCTGCAGGCCAATGTTTTATATGTACCAGACTGTAGAACTTTGGAAGGAAACATCTGAAGTCGAAATGCAGGGACAGAGGAATACCAGACACGTGGGGCTCACCTCTTGTTAAAAACTCCAATCAGCCAACCGCAGGAGGTGAGTGAGACATGAGCTGTGCTTCACAGTAAATACAGTTTCTTGAACGTGAGGTTTTCCACCCAGAAAGGATGCAAGTTAAAACTGAATCAGCCAGCTGGTGGCCTGACAGTAAAGGCCGCTAGGACCCACTGCCAGTCTTTGCATGCCCAGAACCTTTACAGGGAGAGATGGAGAAGGAATGGTTTGTGAGCACGTCCCGTGAGGTTGCTTTCTCTCTGTCTCTCCTCATCTCCACATCCCATCCTACCGCCTGCCCCAGTAGCCTCACGTGCCTGCTAGCAAGTTGAAAAAAAAAAGCAGAGAAACAAATCTTTCTTACTGCCTTGATTACAAAGATCAAGAGTTGCTAAGCACACTGGGCTCCCCCTGCAGGTGGGAGAGAGTGAAGTTACAGGAACTTGGTGTTGCTGGTAATTGGTTCACATTATCTTTGACACAGCAATTCTAAGAATGTCTCGATAAAGTAGAATATCCTGGCTGTCACAGTGTATGTTAGAAACAACCCCCTATGTACAACAGAGGGGACCAATGTGATGAGCTAAACAGAACGAGGCAGATGCAAACGTTCTGGGATGGAGCTCTAAAACAGCAGAAGGCCAGCAAGTGGTACAGTGGTTAAGGCACTAGACTCGCACGGTGACCATGGTTCAAGTCTGGACCCAGCGACTTGAAACTCATGCTGGGTACTTGTGCATGCATGCCCAAAATGCAAAGAAGAGAATGGAGAAGAAAGTAATGCAGTTGGCCACCCCCCCCCGGGGGTGATTTCTCACTTTATGTCTCCAACAATTGCATGCACCCAATAACAAAAATCTTTCTCAAAAAACAACAACAAAAAGCCACCCTGTGCAGTTACTCTTTGTGTGAACAGCAGAAACAGGCCAGCAGATGGCATGGTGGTTAAGGCACTGGATCCTGCATGGCTGTCTGAAGTTCAGGTCCTAGATCTGGCAGCTTGAAAACAACCCTGGTGTGTGTGCATGCATGTCCCAAATCCTGAGAGAAGGGATTGTGGGTGGACATCTCCCCCAGATGGTTTGTTTCTCACTTTTCTTTCTCTCCAACAAGTGCACATGCCCTATGGCAAAATCTAATAAAATAATAAAATAGAACCAAAACCTGATATCCACCAAACTGTTCGTGTACACATGCACCTGCATCTGCACAGGATGTTCTGGAAGGACTCAAGGAACTCATAATGGCAATTGCCGCTGGGCAGGGGAGTGGGGACCGACGTCCTCCCTTGCTCATGTGCCTGTGCTGCCAATTTGGAAGAGGCTCGTAGGTCGCCCCGCGGGAAAGGCAGGCTGAGAAGCAAACATGGCCGCTCGGGGCAAGGCAGCCTGCAAACCAGGTAGGACTCCAGCAGCCACTGAGTGCTCCCCAGCCATTCTCCTGCTGATCAACAGCTGCAGAGAGCCTGGCAGATAGGCTGGCTGGTGGGGACCAGGGTGTAGGTGGCCAAGACCCAGTCCTCACCTTCATGGGACCCAGGAGGGCTGGCTGATGCCAATTCAGCTCGGGCCACTGGAGGAAGTGAACCTGTGGGGAACCCTGGTGAGAAGGTTCCTGCACCCTGAGCACAAGCTGGGGTCACCTTCTTCCCCCAGTGGTTGGCTGGGGCCAGGAGCAGAGCCTGCGTGCCCCCACCACAGCATTGCTCACGAACGGCCAGCCTCAGTAAATGGCAGATAGAAGCCCATGGCAGAGAGGACCTCTCATGCCCCCCAGACCCACTGCCCACCAGGCCACATTCAGCTTGTCTTCACGGTCCTGTTGCCTCACACCCATTCATGGCAGGTTCACCCTTCTTAGGCTTCCCTCAGCTCCTCTAAGGCCCTGCTGGCCACCTCCTCCACAGGCCTGTCCCTGCATCACCCTACACTCTCTCGGTGGGCCTCCCCGCCTTGCTGGGCCAGCTGACTATGCCATCTCTGTGCTTAGCTGGAAAGCCGAGCTGACCAGGGCCCTGAGTAGCCTCCATGCCTGTGGGGCAGGAGGACTCATGGGCTCTCTCTCCTGCATCACCGGTTCAGTACACCAGGTTTGAACAGGATGGCATCTGGAAAAAAAGGCTTTGTGAGGTCTCCCAGCCTCTTTCTATTCACAGATGGCATGAAGCCCAGAAAGGCCGAGTGACTCGTCCAGGGTAAGCTGGAGAGTTGGGAGAGGCCTGGGAAGGGAAGGGTCCCTGTTTGCCAGCCAGGCTCTGCTCCTGGACTTTTACTGAGGGTGACAACCAGGATGGGTGAGTGGGCCCCTCTTCTCCCTCCCAGGACCACTCCCGGCCCTGCTGCCCCTTGAGCCTGCTCATCCCTCCTGCCTAAGAGCCCCTCCTCCTCCTCCAACAGAGCTCTTCCTCCTACAGAGCTCCTCTTCCTCCACCAGAGCTCCTCTTCCTCCACCAGAGCTCCTCCTCCTCCCACCAGAGCTCCTCCTCCTTCTACCAGAGCTCCTCCTCCTCCCACCAGAGCTCCTCCTCCTCCACCAGAGCTCCTCCCCATCCTATCAGAGCTCCTCCTCCCACCAGAGCTCTTCCTCCTCCTCCCACCAGAGCTCCTCCTCCTCCCACCAGAGCTCCTCCCCTCCTACCAGAGCTCCTCCTCCTCCTCCACCAGAGCTCCTCCCCCGCCTACCAGAGCTCCTCCTCTTCCACCAGAGCTCCTCCTCTTCCACCAGAGCTCCTCTTCCTCCTTCCACTGAAGC